GGCAACGGGTCCTTGAAAAATCATAACTGCATCCCGAACCTAGAGGATTCCTCGAAAAAAGGGCTCAAAAAGCCACGACAGGAAAGGGGACATGGTTGAAAACATCCCCTATGCCACGATGTGGTGCTTTCTTGCGCGAAATCCTACCCACCACTGTCTGCTGATCAGGAGCGGCGCCAAGCCTTTTGAATTGGAAAGGGCAGGCTTTTCCAAAGGGCCTCCTGGGCAAAATTGGGCTTCCCCACAGGAAGTTCATTTCTTAATAGTGTCGCATTCGGGGGGGGGGGGGGGAGCACGGGGGGCACGTGCCCGCCTCCCTATAATGGTTTCATGGTATTTATGAGCATCCTTTGAATGCTTGTCAACAGTTAAAAAATCACGGACACGAGCCTGCAATGATTCATGCAGGGCAAAACAATATCGACCCAGCAAAAGGACCACCCTATACATATACGGGACCTCCTGTTCTATATCGAGGGCGTATGATACAAAGAGCATCATTCTAATCCGGAATTAAATCCTTCCGACTCACAAGTGGAAATGCCTCCAAATCCGAAAAAAATTATTTCTTCCCAGTGCTTAAAATACTTGCTTTTCATGCAATGGTATGGATGTAACATTGAGTTGATATACGTTGAAGGAACCACGTCCCCCCCCCGCCCCGCCACCCCATGGTCTCGAAGCACTTTTAGCTTCAGTAACAGGAAATGTGCATTTCTACATACCTTATTTTTTCTAAACGCTCTCTTGTTCTCCAGCCACCAATGCTCGCATGGCAAACAATCCATAACGTTATCCTTTATATCACTTTCTAACCTCATGGATGTGTTACACTTACACTGCGAAAAAGCAGGCATACACACAACGACGGGTCTAGGCAAAAAGCGTCGAAATTAGCCAGTGGATGGCTGAATGCCGTCCTGTCATTGAGCGCACGTCTCACGGCCACCGGCATGCAGGGAGTGGGCGTCCACAATGCATATGTCAAGAAACGAGGACACCTCTGCGCGCCCAAAACAGGAACACATCGGGACATTTGAAACATACTTGCTAGCGAGCAAACGGGCCGTCGCTGCCGGCACGGCGGCGGCGCCTCCGCGATGGTGTGAGCGGCCCCTCTGCCGATTGGTCCCCACCATCTGGAGCCCATATGTGGGCCACGTGTGTCTATGGGGACACGCGGGCGGGGACGCACGGTCCCTGCCGAGCAGTCCACGTTCAGGCTCCGACGGCGCGGATCAACGCGAGCCGCGTCAGCGTTTACGGACGACGACGACGACCTCGGAGTGTGCGAAGTCGCGCTTCCAACCCCTCTCTTACACTTGTACCGCCATGCGGCTCGTTTTGGTCCTTTAAAATATTTTCGGCCTCCAAGCGTCGAAAATCATAGCCAATTAGAAGGACTGCCACATCAACATGTGACAAAAATACGGTACCGTGTAAAGCCAGGCGTCATTTCGACATATGGCATAAAAAGCTCACCAGAATGCTAATTTGCAAGTCCAAAACCAAGGTTAGACAAGGAGGTAGTACCCTGTTTCCTCTGCATGGGACCAAAAATTCGCAGATGACTGGACATTTGAAAGCCAAACACCCAGTCTAATCTAGCCTGCCAAAACCCCGCGTCTCGAGAGTAATCAGCTGGGAGTTAACTTTTGTGGCCAAAAAGCCAGCAACGCAAACTAGGGATCCAGATTGTGATCTCTAAAACGAGCAGACTATAACAAACCTTGAAGTTCAAACTAAATGTGAAATGACGGGATAGTACCATCGCTATATACAACCGATTGGTACAATCAGGGTGCTACTATGAAGCTTGTTTTCTTTCCAGCTAGCATAATACCGTATAACTTGTGAGGAGCGTTTTGGTGTACGGCGGTTTCATAGGCGTAGGAACAGCGTGGAGGTCATGGTCCACACCACACTTACAACTCCGCCCTGCAGTTCCTGCCGACTGGCATAAGCGACAAGGAAATCGCCGCGTCATTCAGACTTCCATTCCGACGAATTATTTCTCTTTGTCATATGCGCCATAATGAGCAGCGATATTTTGAACTCGTTGGCGCCGGGTTGCCAGGGGCGTCGGCCGTTGGTCGCCGTTGCCAGGGCAACGATTGACGCCGCACGGGATCATACGCTTCGCCAGTGTTGGAAATGTCGGCTACGTGCGTAGGAACTGTGGGCCCGTCGCAGTATTTCTGTTGATAAGGTCGGTAGCAGCTAATGTAGCTAAAGAAGTGAATGAGAGCCACTGATGAGATAGTCTTCTGGTAATAATCTTAGATGTATATAACGAAAAGTTAGCAGCTAAGCACAGAGTGCAGAGATACCGCACGTGTGCACTGAAACGTACCATGACTGGATTGGAAGACGCCGAGGGCGATGCAGAGGGGTAAGTACCTACCAAAGTCCCTGACAGCTCTTTCTCCCTCGTTCTGTAACAGGGGTGGTAACACCTTGGGAAACGTGGGGACGCGTCCCCCACAACTCTCAGAAAGTTAGACTGTTCACCACAACCTCAGAAGGACCCGAAATTGTCAAATGTGTGTATATGCATGCGTCCAGGTGAAGCTAGTATAAGTGCAAAATATTAGCTGCCGTAGAAATAACACATAATACAATGTGCGAATCCTCTCAATATGAAGCTCCTCTCACTGCGGGCGCCAAAACGCAAACGCCAATTTAGTTGCCCAGCGTTTTTCCCGCGGTTCTTGGCACCTGTTCTGCGGGTGTGGGACGTTGGTTGCGGGGAACATAGATTCCCAATGTTGAGCTCGCAATCCCAATCTTGACCTGGGTTCCCACGACATGGAACTATACCCCAACACGATATTGGTTCTGTAATGAAACCTAACATTTTGAAGGGAAATAAGTAAACATCAGGCTTATAAACTCATGCTTTTCTGAGACGCTGCGCAAGATGTTTGGATAAATTTTTCAAAAGGTTCTTGTATTTTTATGGCGAATCAAGGCTGTTTGTTTTATCACTCATTCGTCCATGGCCTTGTGTGAACAATAGCCACGCATCTCCTCGCGCTGCGTAAGTCACTGGTCAAGACAATGAATGTTCCACAGTGCAAGCGCCAAAAAACAAAAACAAAAACGCCGGTAGATTTTCAGCCGCAACACCGACAGGTAACACGGAATGAATCCCCCCTTAAAGGGAGTGCTCCACATTTGTGTGGTGTTTTGAACTTAGATAACCATCCTGGAGATCACTCGGTGCAGTTCACAGCCCAGCCTTTCTTAAGACCCAAAACGCTGTTTTTTTTAGCTCCACGCCCGCGAAGATGTACAGACTATTTCGGACTGAGGAGAATTTTGACAATCCTCGCGGTGTTGCTCACGTGGTCATGGAAGTGGAGATCAGTGAGAAGTGATGGCCCGAGGTGGTTGTGACTGTGCGGTAGGTGTGTGCTATTTATCACAAGACTGGGAAAAGGGACGATCGTCAGGGTTATTGGTTTGGGTCCGTCGAATAGTCTTAAGTCGTCGATAGGCACGGGTCCTAGCCCGGCGGGTACTAACTTCCTTGGTCGCGTCGAAATCGTGTCAAGTTTTTTCACCGCTTGGCAGGTGGGAAGCAAACGGGAGAGGTGTCATCCATGTAGAAAGGACGTTGCCGTGTTTTTGTCAGCAAAGTCGTTAAGGCAGATGAGGGCTAGTCAATTTTCGAACTCTGAGACATGAGGTCAATCAGCAGAACGGTCTGGGTTCCGAAAGACTGGCACCAACGCGAACAGTTTGCGTTGATGTGATGATTGATATGCTTCTCTAACATATGATTTGAGCCATGCCAAGACACAGCCGGCGACGCCACATCGAATTTCGTATTTTAGAAGAGACTGTCACGGTGCATTTTGTAAATCATTATTCAGAGATGTCCATACGTACCGAGGCAGCATTTTCGTTTCTTTGCACCGTCGAATAGAGTTGGTGCGCAAGGCATATCGCAACCTTAAGTTGAGATTTTGATCATGGACTGTAGACGCTGTTTTTTTCGCGTAAGATGATAGAGCAGCGGAACGAAGGGCTGTTTGGCCGACACTGAGAAACGCCTGACATGATCCTTTTGTGTAAAAGTAGCCGTAATACGAGACTACTTGATTGGACTAGAGCAAAATCCGAGGTGAACTCAGTTGCTTTAAAGCCGAGTTGAAGATTGCGCAGCGAGGAGGGCGATGAACTTATGGAGTTCGATGGGTATTTAATGTCCCAAAATTTGTTTGCGTCTAGATGACTAATGCTTTGCCACCTTGGAAACAGTGACTTCAGCCTTCTGAAAAGAAGGGATATGTGGTTTGAGAAGAATGGGCAAGAGTTGTTTGTTGGTGTCGAGCCATGGTGTCTGGAATAATTTTTTGGCAGGGTGGATTTGTTGTCATCCGTCTCTGTGAAGCCATCCTGCCTAATGCGTGAGGTTACGCATTGGATACATCAAAAGCGATTACCGCCATCAGAACAGCATGGTGTACATTGTTTCAGTGCCACCCAACGTCGTCCACCAGTCATCATGGGGAGCTCCGATCGCAGCACTACCCACTCGCAGACTACCAACGAGGTGTCGCTGCCGTGCATCGAGTCGGAGCGGATCATTAACAGCCTGGATCAGCTGCTCGCCAAGCTGCACATGGTGCTGCAGCTGCCGTTCGTGTGGAGAGACCTGGTGGCTGAGTGTGGCCATCGTCTGTCCGAGGAGCTGGGCCGCGCCGTCGAGACGTATCTACTGTTGCGCGGTCAGTTCCGGCGCGACGTCGAACAGCTGCTCGCCAGCGTGCCGCCTCCCAGCTCCGACCACAGCCTGGAGACGTTCGATGTCACGGGCACGGGCAGCGGCGACGCCGAGGCCGAGGAGGCACTCGAAGCACCCAGCAACGGGCTGCTGGGCACGCCGGGCGCCGACGAGGCGTGCGTGGCCGCGTTGGCCGCCACGATCGACCAGCTGGCGGCGGCGACGCGCCAGCTGGTGCGACAGTGGCGCCACCACGCCGACGCGGCCGACCTCAACAGCCGGCTGGGCGTCCGGTTCGCGGAGCCAGTGCGCCAGTTCCTCGAGCGGATGTTTGCTCTGCGGCGTCAGGTGAGTCAGTGGTCCGACAGGCGGCCAAAGTCGGCCGAGGCGGCCGAGCCACGCACGAGTCCAGCCGTCGTGTCCACGCTGACGCTGATGACACAACGGAGACAATAAACGCCTTCTTGTTTTGTTCGACGGTGTGCTTCCGACGTAAAAATAGGCTGGTACTTCCACTAACCATCACTCCGAGGCTTAAGCGACGCCAAATCTGGGCTCTATTGCGCTTATGACAGCCGTTAAGCCCTAAGATAGGCACTGCACACGAATAACTTATTGGGCCATTGACATCGAAGCCTCGAGCATTGGCTGACCTGGTGCTAGTCACTAGCCACGTACACAGCGAGTTACCGCTCTCTGACATCGATACGCCGGCGCCCCACTCCCGGCCGCTGTTAGTCCCTACCCCGGCCGTCTGGCCGCACTCTCTGTCCATCGCTGTGCGGCGGAACGGCTGCCGCAGATGTACCTGCGCCTGCTGACCACGCCGGAGCAGGAGGCGAGCCGGACGGAGAGGTTGCGCGCCATCTGGCGGCATGACAACAAGAACTTGGTGACGCTGGCCACGCTGAGGGCGCGCCTGGCCAGCCTGCTGCAGGAGCGAGACACCGACCGCCAGCAGAAGACGGCCATCATCGAGCAGCTGGAGCAAGAGATCGGCTCGGTGGAGCACAAGGCCACCGAGGACATCGCCAACATCATGTGAGGATGCCGACCGGTGTGCGCTGCTGCCCGCTGCCGACGGCTTCGCTGCGTGTGGGGCGGGCCATGAGGTCGGCTGGTCGTCGGTAGCGCATCGTGCCTTTTGACACTGCTGTTCAGCCGACATGTTGCGCCGCTGCACCCGTGCGGTCGTGCAGCGGGATGAACAATAGCTTGCCAAGCCATGTGGGGCGATGTTCCAGCAGACCTGTCTAGCTTCTGGGCAAAACATTGAGACAGAGTATTAGGAACGACCAGTGTCAATAGTGGTACAATAACTTGACGCAATCAATGCTGAAAACCTGCAGTTAATATAGATGTGATGACGGTAGCATTGTTAGCTTCCCTACAAGTTATAAGTCGATTTGTGTCGAATCGAAATGGATACACTGCACGCATTCCTTAAAGCGGTTGCTTTCTCCCAGAGGGGCAGCCGGAGCCTTGGTAGGGGGGGGGGAGGGAAGCACAAGATTGACGAAGGGCCCCGCGACTTACACTAAATGCTGGTCAGCTGGCGGATGAAAATGATGATTATCTGAAAGAAATACCTTTCAACGCTTTAGGACATCAAGTCGTACGCTTAGAAGGCAGCCTTGGTGTACATTTGGCGTGTGGGATTTTTATATTTATAACAGGGCGGATAACCATTTACATTCCCGCAGACAGTACACCCCTGGACCGCTGGGCCGGACGACCCTGTGGCCTCCCGGGCTTAATATGACCTCCGGCCAGCCCTTCGGGCCCCTCCTGCTCTCAAATCGGGACATGGAGGGAGGGGGGAGGGGCACCTCCTTGCGGTGCTTCCTGCCTGCGCCACTTTTTTCTCCAAAATGAATAGCGCCATCGGCTTTAATAGTTGCGAGCCCTAATTTCTTACCGTGCCACGCTACATGGAAAGAGTCTGATGAAACGTGCATCATGAATGCGTAGCTGACGCATGTCTGTTGTCCGGTGTTAGTGTTTTTTGCATGGTTCAAGGTCGTATCACGGTCATTCTAATGCGCATTTCCCTAAGACCCTTTTCGCCTATCCGGGCATGAATCCCGGCAACATTCTCAATAATACTCCAACGTGGCTGAAACCTCCGAATGGCTTGCAGCCTTCGGTGCGTCCCCTTGAGTCGATCGTGATGTGCCGTGGTCAGCAGCGGTCCGGGTGGTGACGACCGCTCGCCTGACCGTCTGACCAGCGGCAGCAGCCGGCGGGGCGGGGCGGCTCAGCAGTGCCGCGCTTCGCAGAGCCGAGACCGACGGCGACATAACTGCTGAGAGCGCGTCCTACCACATGGAGCGCGACCGGCTCCAAAGGCTGTTCGAGCGCAACGACACCGGGCTGAAGCAGCTCCGCGCCGCCAATCGCCTGGCCGAGACGGCGCTCAAGAAGCGCAAGTGAGGGCACTGAACAGGCCCGTCATTGGGCGGTGACATCCAGCTCACGGGTTGTTGGCTGTGCAGAGGGTTTTCCTAGAAAGCGACGCGTACCTCGGGTGCCAGGTGCAGCAGCGCCGCGATCTTCGAGGCAAAGCTTGAAGGGGCGGGTCCTACGATGCCTGTGTAGGAAACTGCAGCGCGCTGTGATGATACATTCGCTGCATTTATTTTTGGCAGTTTTTTTACTGCTGTAATCAACTCCGCAAACTTGTGGCATAAATATGGGCCTACGAAAGGCGATTACGGGGATATTTACCTCCATTTTGATAGCGTTTTAGTCCATATTCCAGTCCATACTGCTGTGCTGTATAAAGTACAAAGCGCAGAAGAAGCCATAGTTCAGCTTACGGGTTTTGGGATTGAAAAGTCCCATTGGCAAACGAATGTGCTGCTCCTAAAAAGGTAAACGGAAAGCTCCTTTTTGACGTCACGAAAGACTAAATATTTGTTTCGTTGATTCTTGCAAACAAAAGCTGCCTGCGGGCAGCATCGAGGCATCTGTAGTTTGTCTTTGAATGTTGGCTGACATCACTGAATATGCCCAGATTTAGCTGATTTAGCGGGTCTAGGTTGGTATATGGTGCCGGAAAAGTTAAAGCTGTATGAATTACATTACGCGTTGTCGTTGTCGAAACAATATAATTGTTCTGATCACAATTGGATGAATGATGTGCCATTTAAGTTGGGGTGCAGTGTACACTACAGTTAAGTGCATGTCCTCCATTATGACCAAAGGTAAAGGGATCTGGCTCATGACATGATTTCTGATTTCTTCTTCTTAGCTCTTCATTTCAGATCATTTTCTCATGAAGCAGGCTTTCGCAGCAAATCCGGGACACCCGCAATGGTTGCCACGTTTCCACTTTGATGTGCCTCAACATTGTGGATTGAAACACTTCCAAAATGCGACTATCACCAGGTGGAGGCCGCCTTCTGTTGGGCCGTCCGCGTCGAGGCCATCTGCAACATCATTAGAGCGTGTGAAAACTCTGGCAAAAGGACATACACCGTGCGAATCACGGAGTACCCCTGCCAAATTCTCCATATCTAATTCAACTACAATGTTTCGGTAGACCCAATGCCTTGAACATAATTCATTCCATTATCAATCAAGCACATGAAAAGCGCATAATAATCCAAAAATTGTCTTGTGGATCAGTCGAAGATTATCCTGCATTGGTGTATGCATATTGCTGGACAAGTGAAGTCGGTGAGCCCAATCATTTGACCTGCTACCGGAAAACGGGATTTCCTAATTGTGCATAGATTACGGCATCTCCTGATTCGTAAGATATCCCATTTTTGCGAGGCATTCCGTCTTTGTAGTGTGTATGTCTGCTGGCTGCTGGCTGTAACATGGGCTCTACGGGAGACGCGTGCGCTGTACTACAAAATATAGAGCACTAGGTTGTGGTTATGCAACCAGCGAGACCAGCCGAAGAAAAATGCAAAAATGATAAATTTCCTTTGAGCTGCACGGGTGCCTTTAGCCTTTTGCCTTCAGCCTTTTTGCCTTTTGCACGGCTGAAAAGGTGCTTTTAGAATCAAAGCGTTGGTCTCTTTCTCGGCAGAATGGAGTTGTAAACGCGTTTTTGCGATCGTGGTCCATTGAAGTGCATGATGCTAGTACCCGGTACTGCTTGGTTCCCTCAATAAAAGGCCCCTTGCTTGTGCCTCAGGTACAAGATCGAATCAGAGCTCGAGAATTGGTTGCAGAAGTACGATTCCGAAATGACTGAGAAGACGGAGGAAATTGAGTCACTACAAGCAGAGTTTGAAGCCGAGACAGCGGAAAGAGAGGAGTACGATGTGAGCTGGAGAGCGATAGCGTATGTTCTAAGCTCGAGGGACTTTATCACCGACGACATCCAGCCACAAAACAGCACACAAGGGGCCCCTGTTCGACCCTCGGTTCGGCAAAGAGTTCCTAGATTTGGTGGACCATACAACAGCGGCCCGCCACATACGCTGCGGCCTCTGCTTCCAGGCGTTTCACGTTAGTCGTGCGCTGTCTGCGCGCCGTGGGACAGCACCTCCGCGCCCTGCACCACCGATCAGCAAAGGTCGCGAGCCGTAGCGGGCACACGTGGAGGTCGTATTGGATCCTGGTCGGGCCAGCCTGTAATCGACTACCGAGCTCCGACGTGCAGCGGAGCTTTTAAGATTAGGGCGGAAAGCAATGGCAGCAAGCAAAGACAAGCACTTTTCACCGTTGCAAATAGTCGATTAGAGGAGCAGTGATTTGTATTGACATGGGACAGAATTCCCCTCGACGCCCAAACATCTTTCGGATGTTATCATCCGTTGTGTTTCTCAACTGGGCCATACCGAAGTTAGTTGGCATTATTAGCGCTCCATGGCGTTCATGTTTGTCTTTTAAGCCCATCTGGATGATGCGTTAAACACACGATCTTCTGAAAGTCTCATGGTTTACCCCACCAAGCATATTTCTGTAGAAGTCGCGGTTGTTTGATCCATTGGCCTTCAGTGTATGGTATCATTTATCGTTGGCTTAGACTGAATCACATGTGGCAGAGTGATTAAGATTCCTCTGCGTGACGTCTGTGCGATTTCCAAGCCTTTGAATCACTCGACCCGTTTCATTGGGCTCAGTTACGTTGTGTTCAGTCGACAGCAGTTTCGAATGTGTCGCTTTCGTAATGAAACGCCATTAGTTCACTGTTAACGTGTTTACGCAATGTCACCTTTGATTACAGCATGAGCAATGTGCTGCAAAACCAGACATTTTGGCTGACGGCTTAGAATTCTTTTATTCAAAGTTTGAAACGGAAGCTACCTAAATATGTTGCCATGCCGGTTTGCTACCACTGTTCAAAGCCAAATTGGATTGAGATGTTCCAAACTAGTTTGTCTTTGAGCTCGAACAAAAAATATGTTCCTAACCACGCACTGGTACACAACTTAACGCACATAACAAACGCTGTGTGCATTTGCAGCCCTATGGGCCAAATCACATCCTTGGCTTCTGGATCTGTGCACTGCCGGTGGATATCCCTCTCAACTGTAGGCTTACACTTGCAGCTGGGAGCGATTCGCTGCATTTGTGAGCGTGCTGTGTGTTCATGCCACTGTTTGTTGTGCAGGCAAAGGTGGAGGCCATCAGGGACCGTTATGACTCAATTATCTTGAAGAGGGAAAGGTTGGAGGAGCTACGCGTATTAGAGGAACAGCTAAATATAAAGAAAGAATCGGCAGCTGTTTATATACAAGTAAGCATATTTGCGACGAAATTTCAAGAACACGCGGCGTGCAGCTGTGATCTGGAAATAGCGTGCATGGTTTGTATTTGGCTGTGACGTCTGATCCCTGTTTGATGGACTCGTGGCGACAGGGATTTTAATCACAACATGACATTTTGCTAGCGTATTGACTCATGCGTATTGTCTACTGTTTACTGACATATGTATATTTCACTTCAGTACTTCTGGCGTAGATATCGCGCTCACAAGAAGCACAAGAAAGGAAAGAAAGGGAAAAAGGGCAAGAAAGGCGCAGGAAAGGGTGGAAAGAAAAGCAAAGGAGGAAGCCCGAAACACAAGAAGGGCAAAAAGTGATATTCAACGTCATCTTCATGCTTGCCCGAAGGGCGGCATATGTTATGCTTCAACAATATGCGATCGTATTTTTTGCTCACTTTCTTCTAAATGCTGTTTAGACCCGTGTTTGCCATATAATGCATTGAATCAAATATGACATTCTTATTTCCAGACACAAATTATGTATAGGTTAATAAAGGAGAAACACTAAGATGGTGTGTTTTGTAATATGTGAGATGTCATGATATCATGACCGCAGTTAGGGTGGATCAATTACTGAAATGTCGGAGTTGGACTGTGCGTATAACGCTGCAGCACCCGGTGTTGCGCATAACATCCGGCTTGTGTCATTTCGAACATAGTTTCCAGTGAAGGCGCTGTCACTTCCGGTGAAACGGAAACTGTTGAGTCCAACTTCAAGTTTTGGGCATCTTTGTAGAGCTGTTGGAAGTTTATATTTCATTGAACGATATAACTTGTATTTGCAAATTGAAAGTTATTATTTATAATTTGTATTTGCAAATAAACGAAAAGAAACAAAACGAAAAACTATATTTGCAAATTTTCTTCTGTTCACTTGACATATCAAGTGTCGTCAGAACACACAAACACAGAAGCCCAGGAGGAACAGCTCCTTGCCGGTTGGGACAGTTCAAGGTAGATCATGGACTTGCAATAAGAAGGCACCAGCTTAAATGACGGCAACCCCAAAAAGAATGTTCGGGTTGTGACGCGTACATAATTAAAAAACCAAATACCACCTAGTGCTTATGAGAATACAACAAAATTACGACTGCCGGAGATGCATTGCAAACCAGCCGAACCGTTATGCACGTACTGATAAACCAGACGAGGATGATAGCCCGCACAATGATTCCAGTGGTGATTATGATAACTCGACCCAATGCTTCGGAGTAAAACCGAAGTATTTTTCTGGTAACCTGATTCTGAAGGTGCATCAAATATATAAATTGTTATCGGCGCTAGCAATCGAATCCATGTCACGAACATTTACGGAGCCGAAACATGGCGTCGGAAGAGAGTGTTTGTAACCGCTCCGTAGTCCTCATGTAAGAGGTTCACATAGTTGTTACTGAACGCGGCTTACTATTCGAGATCATAACGCACAAAGGACCATTTTGTGTTGAAATGTTCAATATTCAGTCCGAATCAATTGATGAAAAAAAATGATATAGCGCAGCTTTAACGTGCACGCTCGCAAATCTCAATCATAAAACATCGATGCCCGGCGTTGCAGTCTTCGTGGGCTGCTCGAAGCGGATCTGCAACTAACACTAAGCGTTGGCCAACGGGGACGGAAATCTGGTGATAAACCTGGAAGAATAACAGCAAACTCTCTATTTTTGGTGTTGTGGTTATTGCTAATCCGAGCAGAGGAGAACTTCAAAATTGTAAAGATAAAAATACACGCCAGCGTAATTATTGAAAAGAGCAGACTTCTTTTGATGCACTCTCGCAAACATATTTCACGCCCGTCGATCCGGCGCGCACGGGCCCGCCGCCCGCAATTACGCAGTGGCTAACGCCGTCTGACTTTATGCAATCTGCAACCACGGTCATCACTGTTCTTGTTCCCGAGATTGTGAGTGTAGTGTCAAAACTGTTCGATGTAATTCGTTCCACTAGTCAATACCGTAAAAGGATGAAGGTTCTCAGGCAAATATAGGCTGGCTCTTCTTTTTTGACTCATTTCGACCCACTATATTCAACACTAATGAGGCTCCCTACATTTTTCGGGCAAGGGACTCCTCGAGTAAAATACTAGGGGTAGGGACGCATTAGTGTCAGAGGGCTCCAACCGACGCAAGAAATCTCTGACATTCGGGGTTCCACCCCCGGTCCTGCTCAGCAAACATCCCCCTGGAGGACCCGAGGCCCCTTATTGGCGCGGGATATGGTGTTGGCACTGTGGGCCCTGACCAACATTGGAGACCCGCATCGTTGCAGAGGCCCCGGCCAATGCAGATCGCGGGTCTGGCCTTGTCCCTGCTTGGGGAATGGGCCCTCAGAGCTCAGACCGACACAGAGCCGACTGTTCGGTCGGTGGCGATCTCCAACCGAAATGGAGGACTGTCTCTGCACTGTCTCAGACGTCCCTAATCGGTGCAAGAGGCCCTCTACCTGACATTTGAGATCACGTCCTTACGGACGGGTCCCTAATGTGACCTAGACCTGCAGCCAGCCTTCGGTCCGTTCATCCTTTCAATCGAATGCCTGATCTTTGGTCTCAGGACCCCTTGGGCTCCTCTTCAAACACCCAAAACACCCCACTCAGACACAGCTCCTGGCCGACTCGGAGCCACTTGCCGACACGGGACCCCTGTTAGGCACTGGGAGCTCCTGCACGACACAGGAGCCGCTGATTGTGTCGGGGACCCAGGCCAATGCAAATCGTGGGCCTGGCCTTGCTCCGACTTGGAAAATGTGTTCCCAGAGTTTAGACTGACACGTAGCCAGCTGTTTGGTGTCGGTGGTCTGGCCGCCACGGACGCCCGCATCGTCTCAGAAGCCTCGATCGGTGCAAAAGGCCTCCAACTCGGGCCTTTTTGCCTAACCAGGGCTCCTCTGCTAGATTCTGTGGGGCCGCTGACAGAGACCGGGACCCCGACCAATGTAAAAGCGGCTCTGCTTTGCCACGACCAATGTAAGATGGCCCCGGCTTTGTTTCTGCTTGGGCAATGGGCCCTCGGGCAGGTCTGAGTTCACAGTTCGTGGCCCGTCACCGCACACTTGCGGCCGCCGAGGACACATCAGCCGCGCTGGCTACTCACGTCCATCATCAAAAATAGCGGGATACCTTGAATCGCTCGGCGTTTATTTCGTGTTACAGGCACTGAAACAGCACAATGACTAGGACGTGAGACCATCGAATCCTACGTTCAGATTCTCCTGAGTGTATTATTGCAAGCATGTACACACGTACACACACAACGGTTGACAGTATTAAAGGTTGGCACGATTTTTGGCTGCTCCTCGATCTATTTCTATAATACTCACAGTACAAAACGTAAAGCTTCAGGTAACCTACCCTCCTATAAAAACGCTACCACAGCGAATGCGCGGGATTTTCGTCAGCCAAGGCACACCTAAGCGGAAGCTCACGCATGAGTACGGCAAGTCACAAATGGACAAGCGCCGCAGATATGATCAAGGATTTGTGGCATACCGAGTCCTAAAACCGGCCGCCACAAGGCAGGCCACGCGACTGAGTAGTACCCGGATCACCGTCGGTACATTCGTTGTCGGTGGGCGTGACCAGAGTCCATTGCTATTCGTTTGGGGCGGAGGGTCCTCGCAGACCCACGCTCAGCGGTCGTCAGGCGCTGCTGCGGCCATTGACCTCCGTCCTGGCCTCCGTATAATGCCATTCGACGACCTCTCTCCCCCTTCCCCGTCCCCTCTCAAGCCAGCGTTGGCACAAACCTGCCCAATCTGCGCCGGCGCCCCTTACGTAACATCTCCCTCCCGGGTCAGTGCTTGGCGTCGACCATCTCCCCTACCTCACCCCGGGGTCAGAATGCGCGCTCCTGGCTGATCGTCTCCTCGCGCGGGTCAGCGTTCAGCGCCAACGGCTGACCGTCTCCCCGCACAGGTCAGCGTTCAGCGCCCCTGGCTGACCGTCTCCCCGCGCAGGTCAGCGTTCATCACCTCCGGCTGATCGTCTCCCCGCGCGGGTCAGCGTTCAGCGCTCCAGGCTGACCGTCTCCCCGCACGGGTCAGCGCTCATCACCTCCGGCTGATCGTCTCCCCGCGCGGGTCAGCGCTCATCACCTCCGGCTGATCGTCTCCCCGCGCGAGTCAGCGTTCAGCGCCACTGGCTGACCGTCTCCCCGCGCGGGTCAGCGTTTAGCGCCCCTGGCCGGGCGGCGCTGCGGTCGGGAGGGCGGCGCCGGACGGGCCGTCGGGTCGATGAGGCCGACGCGAGGCGCCGCCGGCGAGAACAGCCGGCTGTAGCTGGTGTCGCGGTTGGCCAGCTCCAGGCCCAGCTGCTGCTTCTCGCGGCGCAGCGCCTCCGCCTCCCGGTCGCGCTGCTGCAGTGTCTGGCGCAGCCGCTGCAGCTCCAGCTGGTCCTCGGGCCGCGGCCGGGCCTCGGCCGCCGCTGCGCTGCCCGTCCGGACACGCACGTCACCGGCCGGCCGCGACGCAGCGGGACACCGCCACAGACCGACGTCCGGACACCGCCACAGACCGACGTCCGGACAGCCGGGGCTCGGCACAAGCCAGCCTCGCCACGGACATGGGCAGGCACAATAGGGTCGTGTAACATGCTGACCCCGGCATTGATGGCCCTCGGTACAGTCGGACCTTCGTACACACAGACCTCGGTACAGTAGCGTCCCGGTACATCCGAACCTCGGCACAGTGGCGTCCTGGTAACCCGGACCTCAGCAGAGCAGCGTCCAGGTACGGGGCTCGGCACAGCAGGACCCAATCAGCAGGGCACAGTCGAATCTCGGTACAGTGGGATGGCGGAGATTCAAAAAGACGTAGAACAAGCGCATGCAATACGCACACAAGTGGAGCAGGACCTGCTGTCCGTCAAGCCAAGTCCGTTGCTGATCCGTAAAAAAACACGAGCGTCAACAGGAGTCGGATGATGTTCCAGGACCGCATGAAGCGCACAGGATCATAGAAGCTGTCGGCGACGACGCGCCAGCGGTGCGGCTTACAGGGTCTCCAGGGCATGGATCCTGTCGTCGGCGAGCCGTGCCGCCAATTGGCTGTCTGTGCGCATGCGCTCCAGCTGCAAGGCGTGCTCCCGCTGCATGTTCTCTATCTGGCGCTGGGACTCGGCGCGGAGGGCCTGCAGCTGGCTGGCGGGCGGCAAGGGACGGGGGACGGGAACGGGGTCAGGTCAGCTCGCCGGACGCCCGGCAGTGACATCATTAAACTGTGCACGACTACGTCAGCCTGGGGCATTGACCGCAGCAGCTACATACGGAAAGACTGGGAGCGCTCTAATCAATTAGTAACTCTACGGCGTGCGCACGTCCACGAAGGCTGGCTAACGGACTCCGCTTAAGAGCAACTTGTGAGTCTTCATTGTGGCATGCGTGGTACCTGTAGGAGCCCAGCATACGGGGACCCAGTCCAGTTATCCCCATCACCTGGAGGTTACCTGACCAGACACCACGAATAGCTGACATCGCGAGTGATCTAACTGCCTCCACATATGACGTCATCCACCAGATCCGGCGGCCCCGATCACTGACTTGTGGCCCTCCTCCTGCTGTGACGTCATCAGTCGGACCTGGTGGTCCAGGTCGCCGCGCGTCTCGGCCAGCTCGACGCGCAGCTGCTCCGTCAGTCGGTCCCGGGTCGCCAGCTCGCTCCGCAGCTCGCCCGTCTCGGCTCGGTGCTGCAGCAGCGCACCGTGCCCGCATCAAAGCGGCGCAGAGTGACGTCACAGGTGAGGGCGGTGACCGCCATTTCTCCACACAG